ACGGGGGCTACTCTAGTCTTTGCAGCAATAAGATTTGTATATATTATTCCATCTGGACGTCGCACCCACAAATAGATTGCATCTGAATATGCCAACTCTGATGAATCAGCGAATCCGTGAAGCTCGACGTGGTTGTCGTCTGACAATTGTAACCATCTTGGAATCTGCAAGTTGGTTATCTGGCACATACTATCACGTAACACCAGCCATTGGGTTAATAGATCTTCAGGCAATGGTTGATCCCAGTCAACACCTCTCAGCCACAGCCTTTGCATAAAAATTTTCATGCTAACGACAACTGGTGCCAACCAACCGATCGAATCGAAGATTTTGCATATATCAGACAAACCTGTACGTTTTGTAACGACATGTGGCATGGCCCCCAGCGTCACACTAAATTTAAAACAATCCTTGGTTGTATTCCACAACAACCCCAAGGTTTTCACAGTTTGGGTATCATCGATTACGGTCTCTGTAGAGGACTCTCTGTCTTGTGTGGGAATGCTATCAATGAACTGTGGTGAATTCGACGACCATTTCCGCAAGTGAAATCCAGCACTGTCAAGAATTTTACACAAGTCGTTTTTTAGGTTTGTAGCTCCTTCTACACTACTTGCGCATGATATGAAATCATCTACGTAAAAACAGGTTTCGATCGCGTTTGAAACATCGGGATTCAGTTCAGCATTGTCAATCGCTACTTGACGCAGAGTTCTGGTAGCCAGGAAAGGCGCGCAGGCTGTTCCATACGTCACTGTCCTTAAATTGTATTCCTGGATTTGCTTACTTTCATCATCTCTCCATAAAATGCGTTGATACGAGCGGTCATCTGGATGTATGAGCACCTGGCGATACATCTTTTCTATGTCCCCAATGAAGCCTATTTTATACCTGCGAAATTGTATTAGGATTGTGAACAGATCCCTCTGTATTGTAGGACCTACTAGTAGTTGTTCATTGAGTGACGTTCCATTGTCTGTTTTACAGGACGCATCGAACACTACGCGTACCCTTGTTGTAGTGCTGCTAGGCTTAAACACTGCGTGGTGTCGCATGAAATATGTCTTGCTAGATGAGCAGCTCCTTGCTACTTCAATGTGCCCCAACTCGAAAAATTCTTGAATAAACTCGGTATACTCTTCTTTAAGCAACACATTTTTATAGAATTTGGCTTCCAAACCATGAAATCGTTTTAACGCCGCCTGCCTCGAGTCCCCCAAGTTAACCACTGTACTCTTAAATGGGAATCTGGCGATGTATCGTCCACTGGAATCCCTCTGAACGTGTTGTTGGAAGTGTATTTCTGCTTGCTCTTCCTCAGGTGTCAGGTGATTCATTGTTTCGTTACATTCCTCGACTTTCCAAAACTGCTGCAGTTGCTCACCCAAGTCGACTGTCATATGCGCTGGTACTATTTCAAGATTTCGCTGATTAGCAACGTTACCAACAATAACCCAGCCGAAAATTGTTTGTATTGCGCTTGGAGATCCACTTGGGTGTACAATCTTGTCTTGTAGTAAACATTCACTAAATATATCTGCACCCAAGATAATGTATATCCGTCCCGTTGAGTTGTATTGGGGATCAGCCAATTTCAGGTTGTTGAAATAATTAAGTTTTTCGTTGTTGATTGTGTGGCCAGGAAGATTTTGTGTCAAGCGATCCACACATAAAGCCTCTGTTGTTGCCATCTTCTCATAATACGTTGCCTTCAATAGTAGGTACACCTTACCCTTTGTATAACTTCCAGTGCCTGCCCCGACACCATGAATTAAAGTTTTATCGTATGAACGCTTAAGCTCTAGACGTTGTGCGCACGCCTCAGAAATGAGCGTGACTTGTGCACCCGAATCAAGCAGTACTCGACATGGTTGAAGACTATTTCGGCCGTCTAATATGAGTACCGTTGCTGTTGGTAGTAACGCTAGTGTTTTGTTGTACTGATGTGTCGCGTTACCCGGTGGAGCAACGATTTGTGTTTTTCGTTGCAGATTCTACAATTTGAGCGTGTGCATTGAGCTGCACGATGATTGTCTTGAAGGCAGTTGAAACATCTGTTGTTATCACGTACTATTTTAATTCGCCTTTCAATATCTAACATTTTGAACTGATTGCAGTGGAATAGAGCGTGATTCTTTGAGCATACGGGACACGTTTGTATAACCGAAGTGTACGCACTAGATTGGTTTCGACACTTGTTGGCGTTGCTTTTTGCTTCAGTTGCTTTGATTCCAGATTTGACTAAATTTCCTGTCTTCCTTTGGGCGCTTTCCAGCTCAAATAGTCGCTCCTCTAGAAAATTTAGAAATTGTGCAAAGGTAGCGACTTGATCGGATTTTTTCTCTCTGTACCACAAGATGAGTGTTTCGGAATCGATCTTTTTTCTATGTGAAATAATAGTACGGAATCCCAGTGCTCTACAGGCTCATCGAGCGCTTTCAAGGCATTAATTCTTTCATTTGAGGTGTTCACGACTCTTTTTAGTTCAGATGCCGACAGTAACTTCATCGCCGGTTGATCGAATAATAGTTCCAGATAAGCGCTTTTTACCTTGTCGTTTTTATTGTATTTTTTGCAGAGTAAATCCCAGGCTATTTTATAGTTTTCATTTGTAGGCCTTAAATGCTTCACCAACGACAACGCGTCTCCCTTGAGTCTTGTTTGCAGGTATTCGAACCTTTCCACGTCTGACAAATTAGCTCTTGTGTGGATCATTTGTAGGCCTTAAATGCTTCACCAACGACAACGCGTCTCCCTTGAGTCTTGTTTGCAGGTATTCGAACCTTTCCACGTCTGACAAATTAGCTCTTGTGTGGATCATGGCTTCGAATAGGTCACGAAAACGAATCCATTCGGTATACGTCCCATCGAATTCGGGAATTTGAATATGCGGAAGACGAATTTCGTGTTTGTCTCGTGTATTACGATCATTTGGTTGATTAAAGGGTGACGACGCTGCGTTCATCCCAGTGCTATTCGATATTCTCTCGATTAGCGCACTCCTAGTGGTTTGGTGGTCCATAAGTGACTGCATGGCCCTAGTCTTGTCTCCACCTTGTGGATGCTCACTCATCATACGATTACTTTCATCCTCTCGTACTCGATTGGCAAATATAGATTTAGTTGCGAAATATTTATCTTCCTTCTCGCTTCGATACACTTCTTCATCCTGAGACGGGCCGGCGAGATCATCAATGCTATTTTGTATCTCTTCATACTGTGAAAATAGTTCATCAAGTTTACTGATACGCACCTTAACTTCGTCTAAAGATGCGTTTTGATTCAGACAGAATGTGTAAATACGAGTTATGGAGCCCTTTATGACCTGACGTTTTTGTTTTAGATTTTCCATTTCTACAGACTACAATTTTCTATTTAAAGATTATTTGTGTATAGAGATTTATAAATTCAGGAGTTTTAATTCAAATATTAGGTATATTAAAATTAATTTGTGTGGATATTTACATATATGTATATCATTTAGTAATTCAATCGTACAGAAGTGTTTAGAGAACCTAAACTATATATTTAGTATATTTGCATACAATAATTAGGTTTTCAATTTCATGGGTATACACATACACTTATACATATGTTGAATAATTTGAAGTCGTTCATCTACCTTGAGTTTGAAAAAATCTTTAATATTCAATGGAATTTGCTTATATACGTGTGGTCTTAGACCTTAGTAAACAGTTTGAGCTCTGTCCTTTAGCATAGACATTTACCATTTACAATGAATTTATTTAAGTATACATATCAATATAATTGTGCATACCGATGGCGCTCGTACCTGTTGCTATAAGTTACAATGCTATGGTTAATTGCAATTTGCACGTGCTCGTTGAGGTTATGTGATGAAGTTTCCGTTTTCAAGTGATGTTCCTTCTGCAAATTTCCACACTCCAATGTGGGTGCTCCGCGTACATGGATACTGTCTATTGGCAATATACAATATTTATTGCACTCCCTTCGAAGATGCTGCGTTGCCCAAATCTAGTGGATGTACACAAATTCACGCTGAATTGTCGAACGAAGCCAATCCGGCTATCCGGCTCGAAGGACCAAACTTATGAGTATGGCAATCGATGTCGTAAACCTATACCTTGGTTTATGTTTAATAACGAAAACACTCACACTAATTTTTGTTTAAGTACAAAATGTTTCATTTATTCGTGGACTGTTTCGTGTGTGTATCTTCAAAAACGCAATTTGTTGACAGCCAACGCCAGTGTGTTCGCTTTGCGTAATTGTACATGGTTGCATTAGTTATTAGTTATATTAGGGTTACATTGTTGTAATTTTACGTATTCAATACATAAGTTAAGAAATGGAACTCAAAGTGTAAACAATTATTAATATTTATAACTATAATTATTATTAATATTTATAATTATTATTACTATTGCTGTTGTTATCATTAATTTTAATATTATAATGACAATTATTGTTTTTTTTTACTTTTATAATTTTTCTTTTGTGTTTCGTGCCATCTACATCTTTCATTGTTTTCCCTTGGAACCTTTATTTTTTTTCTTCTTCTTCTTTTTCTTCTTCTTCTTCTTCTTATTCTTCTTCTTCTTATTATTATTATTCTTCTTCATCTGATTTAGGATTCTTCGACTAGCTCCTAATCTTTCAGAGTCTCCGCTGTCATGGCAGTTGCTCCCCTGCTGGCAATTGCCGAGTTCACACACTTCAGTCTCTGCTGAAATTTACCTATTCGCCGCTGTGCGCCGAATTAGGCTCAGACGATGCCACGGGAGAATTTTCACCTTTCGCGTTGTTCTCATAAAATGGTTTGAGATCACTCACGTGCGCTGTCCTCCTTTTCCCTTTGTGCACCTTGTCGAGTTCGACGATCACAGGCGAAATAAAATTTAGTACGCGATGTGGTCCGCCGTATTTCGGTGCAAGCTTAGCCGCGAAATTTTCCACGGCTTTAGACAAGAAGTGTTCTCTCACCAGAACTCTGTCTCCCACGACCGGTTGCCATGATCTTCTTCGCAGATTGTAGTGTCTCGCTTGCTCTGTCGTTGCCTTTTGTTGGTTTCGTCGCACTAACTCAAACACCTCTCTCATTATCGCCGCTTCTACTTGCGGTGTGGTGGTATCTTCGCCGGTTCCTAACGTATTTTCGTCGTACAATGCGTTCGGTAACCTTGGTTCTCGCCCCTGGATGACAAACGCCGGGCTGTAACCTGTTGCCTCGCACACGCTCGTGTTGAGGGCCAAAGTCATTTCTGGCAACAGATCATCCCAGCTCTTCTGGTCTCTGCCTGCAAACTGCGCCAGTAGTCGTTTGACGTTACGGTTCGCTCTGTCCGTCGGATTTTGCTGCGGTGTGTACGGAGCAGTGAATTGGTGCCTTACTCCCATCTCCTCCAGGAATTGCTTAAATTTCGCGCTGATAAATTGCGTTCCATTATCCGAGATCCGGATTTTGGAATGCCGAATTTGCCGATAATCCGCTCTCTCACTGCTCGAATTACTCCCTCCGCTGTTGCCTTCCGCATTGGTACAATCTCGACGCATCTTGAGAAATGATCTAGTATTACCAGTGCCATAGTGTTTCCATGCTTGGATCGCGGAAGAGGTCCTACGAAATCAACACACACTGTCGCCCAGGGTTCTTCGGCTAGCTGCGTCAGCATCTTTCCGGCTGCTTGCGGCTGGCTTGGTTTGTAAAGCTGGCACGTTTCACACTGTCGCACGTACTGCCTCACGTCACGGAACATGCCCGGCAAAATAGTACCGCGCTGTCGCCCGCGCTATCGTTTTTCGGATGCCCATATGGCCTGCACTGGGAACATCGTGAATTTCCCGTAACACCCTCTGTCTTTGCTCTGCCGGCATGCATAGTTTCCATGGCAACACGCCTTCACCGTCAATTTGTCCTGATATTCGCCTGTACAGCTCACCATTTTCGATGACAAAGTCAGGAAACTTCTGTGGAGACTTCTCCACCTCCGCCATCTTGTCTTTCAGCCACTTGTACTCTACCGCTACTCCTCCCGCCGTCATCGAACCAAGCAATGTTTCCTGGGGCTGTCTTGACAGCGCGTCTGCTACCACATTCAGCTTACCCTTGCGATACTGCACATCGAAGGAGTACTGCTGCAGTTCCAGCGCCCACCTTGCAATCCGACCGGATGGACTCTCTATCTTACTCAGCCATTTAAGCGCTAAGTGGTCGGTGGTGACGGTAAACGTATATCCTTCTAGGTAGGGTCTCATTTTTCTGATCGCCCACACTATGGCCAGGCACTCTTTCTCCGTTGGTGAATAATTAAGTTCGGCCTTGTTAAGCCGGCGACTCGCATATGCGATTACGCGTTCTGTTCCTTCAATCTCTTGGGTGAGAACAGCTCCCAGCCTGTAGTCGCTCGCGTCTATTTGCAGAGTGAACTTCTGCGTAAAGTCGGGGAAAGCCAACACTGGTGCCTCGGTTAACGCGTTCTTCAGCGCCTCGAACGCTGTCTGTTGCTCGTCGTTCCATTTCCACTTGTGGCCCGTCTTTAGCATGGACGTCAGCGCATGCGCCACTTTGGAAAAGTCGGGGACAAATCTTCGGTACCATGAATTTATCCGTAGGAACCTGCGTAGCTCCCTTATATTTGTCGGTGGTGTCAGCTCTTTGATAGCCGCGACGTTCTCAGGATCGGTGTGAATGCCCTTCTCGATGACGACGTGACCCAGATACTTCAACTGCTTCTTGAAAAACTCGCATTTTTCTGAGTTGATCCTAAGATTCGCCTGCCTAAGCCGTCGGAAGACCTCCGAAAGATGTTGGACGTGCTCTTGCAGGGTTGCGCTGATGACAATAATGTCATCCAGGTAGGCAAAAGCATACGGCTCTAGTTCTGGACCGATAACTTGGTCTAACGCACGCTGGAACGTCGCGGGGGCGGAGTGGAGCCCAAACGGCATTACTCGCCATTGAAAAAGGCCACGCCCTGGCGCTGTAAAAGCAGTGTACTGCTTGCTCTGCTCTTCCATCGGGATTTGCCAGTAACCGTTTTTCAGGTCAAGGCTGCTAATGTAACGCGCGCTTCGTAGTCGGTCAAGGATATGTTGGATCTTCGGTAGGTGGTACGCGTCGGGCACTGAACGCTCGGTTAGCTATCGGTAGTCGACGCAGAGTCTCCACTTGCCGGTCTCCTTCTTCGCCAACACTATCGGGGCGCTGTGCGGACTGTGTGAGGGTTCAATACACCCTTTCTCGTTAAGGTCGTCGATTTCCGCGTTGATGATTTCCTGCATCTTTGGGTTCTTCGGGCAATACCTCTGCTTGACCGGCCGGTCATCCTTCATGACGATCCGGTGAGTGGCAATATTTGAAACTCCAGACATCTTCTTAATTTTGCGTAACTCTGACTTTAAGAACTCTCTCGCTTCGTCGGTTGTCGCGGCTTCTGTAGGCATTTGGGTTTGATTTGGGCTCATCGCATTTACCTGACCTCTCTGCACCTCCCTCGCGTATTGCCATGAACGTTTCTACTCCTTGTGCACAGCTCTCTTCTCGGAGTGTCACGTCTGAGTCTCCGCAACATAATCGGACCCCCGCTTTTGCCAGGAAATCGGTTCCAAGCACCAAGTCATCCATCAAACCAGGCAGTACCAAAAGATCGCTTTCATGCACCTGATTCGCTAACTCCACTCGTGCCGTTATAGCCTTCAGCACCGTTTTGGATCTCCCATCACCCATTACCACACGCGTGTTCACCTGCCTAGCCTCTCCCACATCCAGTCTCTTAACCATGGCTTCGCTCAAGAAACTTCTTGTTGCACCTGTATCAACTGCAGCTACTACGTCGACCTCATTTACTCTGATCGCCGCCATAATTCGGCCATACGACTGCCTTAGTACACTATTTAGTTTGGGCGAGGCTGTTCTACCTGACGCCCCACTCCTCGCCGCAAATGGGACCTCGACCCGTTTCCCGATGCACTACGGCAGCACTCTCCACAGGTCCAACAAAACTCTCTCCGTGCAGCTCTACACTCCCTCGCAAAATGGCCATCTCCCCCGCAATGTCTACACGCAGTCCACGGATTAACGTACTCCGACTGTAGTGTTGCTACACCGCTGTGTGGTTCAGGTCGGCGTTGTGTTCTCTCTGCTCTGGCCGTCTCGTCACTCCTAGGCAGCTCGCGCATGTGCTGATATCTCTCCGTAACCCGTGGAGTTGTTCACGCTGCGGCTCTCTGTGGCTCTCTCACCGGGGGATATTTTCCATGTCTTCCGCCAAACTCACTAGCTCTTCTAGGGTGGTGAACTCGGATCGTTTGACGTACCATTGGAACTCGCTTCTGGAGTTTCTGTAGATACGCGTCAGCTTCTGCTCTGAGGTGTAGTTCGCGTGTCGCATCAGACTCTGAAGGGCCAACACATAGTCTTTAAACTTCTCGTTCTGTTGTTGGACGCTACGACGGATCTCATCGTCTAAGGTTTCGTGGTAGCGAGAGTTTAAGAAGAACCTTAGAAAGTCTCTCTTGAAGTCCTCCCATTGTCGCCAATCCCGGTTATTACTGCGGAACCATGTCAACGCCTTCTCCTTAAGTAGTTCTGGCATCGCTCGCGGTAACAAGTCACGATTCACCTCGTATACTTCCGCCAATTCTTCTACACGTTCGATCAAGCTGAGCGGGTCTCGGCCGCCGTCGTATTTGAAACCCCACTTACGGACTCGGTCCATGATTGTTGCCAGCGATGTCGTAGGATACGTTGCGAATGGCTGTGGTGTCTCAAACGCGTCAACGGGCATTGGTGACTGCATTACACTGGCTCCCTGGCTTCCACTTGGTGTTGCTGCGGTAACATTCAGCGCAGGCTTCGAGTGTTTCGCTTCTAGCTCTTCGAACCGCGTTTGGTAGTCTTCGTTGTTACTTTCTTCTTGTATAAATGAAGAGAAACGTCTTCGCGGCTCTTCGACTGTTCCTGTCTGTTCGAGGCCGAGCTCTGCCATATAGGTCAGCAGCTCCTCTCGGTAGAGGTAATGTATCCACTTTCTCTTCACCATTGTTTTTTTTTTCACACTGTTTCTTCACTGGACCGCCTACTAGTAGTTCTTCGGGTGGTCACTGCACTTTGTGTCTCTCTCACTTGTGCCCTTATTGCTTCTTAAATTTGGGTCTTTCGGGTAGTCGCTGAACTCAGTGTCTCTATCACTTGTGTTCTCTCTCTTATTTTTTTTTTCACTTCACTTTTTTTCACGGCACTCTCCTTTATGTTTCGTTTCCTTTAGCCATTTGTAACGGACTTTCCTGAGTGCTGGGCGTAGCTCTCGGTTGTCCAGGGTCCTGTAAGGAGTAAACACCCTATCTCCTCAAGAAATTAGAGCACACTCGCTTCTAGTTTACAGCCTCTTTATTCGCTATACTCTCGCTATACCTACTCTCTAAAGTATAGAACTAGAGTAGGTTTAAACCCTACAGCTAGCACCAGTCTCATTGGTTAAAGCCCACTTCGAATATACAACAATAGTCTCGGAGGTTGATCCCTCTTCCACTACCCGTGTGACCCACATTGCCACGTATGCCTAGCTAA